AACGCCACTGGCAAACTTATATCGCCCATCGGCACCACCTCTCCTCCATTGAAGCCATAAAATGCCGTAGTCACCGGCTTCAGCTCCATATACAACTCCTTGTTAATTTGCACAAAACAATCGTAGAACATCACGTCTACCGAACTCCCGGTATCAATAAACACCCTCTTCACGTCAAAGTCTGCCACCTCCGCGGTTATCACCAAAGCATCGTTGTGCGGTAGGACCACTCCCTCGGCATCCTCCGCCTTGAAACTTATCACCGGCATACGAGTTGTAATCCCTACCTCCTCTCTTTTCCTCTTCGCCGCTCGAGCATGCTCCTTCTGGCCCTATTGGAGTCACCATCCGTTGGCCCTCCAGAAATCATGTAAATCGTCCCTCTCTTCATCGGGGCTTCTCCTCCGTGCCCTCCCTTATCGCCATCTCTCCTCGGCTTCTTTTCTCGACCATCTCGACCGTCTCCATCGCCTCCCTCCTCGTCCCTGTCACTCCTTTCCTCCGAATCATCTCGACACCTTTTCCTTCTTTTTCCTTTCACCCTATCCTGATATACAAACTCTTTCAGATATCCATCTTGAATCAACCACTCGATCTCATCCTTCAAATGTCTACAGTTCTCCGTGGTATGACCGTAATCTCGGTGAAAACGACAATAAATATCCGACCTAGGTCGAATTGGGCCTGTAAACCTTGTCTTCGGTCAGGTTACATCCTTGCTCGGCATCTTCTACTCTATGGCCTCGAGCACCTCTGTCATATCTTTCTTCAGGGGCGTAAAAGTGTGGTACCTCTGCCTTTCGAACAACATCGGCCTCCTCTGCCACTCGTCCCTTTTTTCCTTCTTCGAATCTCGACTCTCTCTTCGGGGCGATGCCCTCTTCTGCCCACTCCTCTTGGGCGAATTTCTCCTCAGTGATCTTCCCCTTTGCGGGCTTTTCTCCCTTTTTGGCTCTGGCCGAGCCACCCCTTCGAGCTTTGCAAACTCCACCTCCATCCCCTCCAAATTAATGTACTTCCTGCATCGCTTCAGAACTTCCTCATACGATCGAGCCGGGGTCTTTGCCAGGGAAGTTCGGCAAGGCCCTGCTCGAAGACTCCTTATCAATCCTCCCGCCTTCACCTCATCTGAAGCCGAGTGCACCTCTAAACACGTCTGATTGTATCGAGCAACATACTTCCTCAATGACTCCTTCTCACCCTGTCTCATTGTCATCAAAGTCAAATACGTTTTCTCTTGCGCCATCGCGCTCGAATATTGGTTGGTAAGCTTGCTGGCAAAATCCTCAAAATCCGCAATCGACCTAGAGGGTAACTGATGAAACCAGTCAAGCGCTCCTCCACGTAAGGTCGATAGAAACGCCCTGCAACAAACAAAATCAGAATATCCATGTAACACAACCATATTTTCAAAGGTCCGCACATGCCTCGACGGGTCAGACGACCCATCATACACCAAGTTGGTCTCCTTGAAGTTAGCCGGCAGAGGAGCAGCGAGAATCTCCCTCGAGAAAGGATGTCCTCGAGCCCTCCTCTCCGGCCTCCCCTCAACTTTGTCCTGCAATTGGCGCAACTGCTCTACCATCCTCTCCATTGCACGATCCCTCACGGATCCTCCTTCTCCATAACTGGACACATCCTCGTCCTGGTTTCCTACAGCTGTGGTTGGTGCAGTGGTGGCGTGAGATGTGTGACTCGTGACTTGCTGCACCGCCTGCGCCGCCGCGGCCGCTGCTATTCTCTGCATCTCTTTCCTGGTCATCGTCACCATTTGTTGACCAGGAACTTGTCCAGCTACCCGCGGTGGGGCTCTGCCTTGTATCGTCGTGTCTCAAGGTTGCGCCACCACTGGATTGTGAGGCGGTGGTGGCGGCATCGCCGCCGCTGCTGCTGCTCGTGCCTCCTGGGCGCGAAACCAGCATCTCCTCCGGGAATTGTTGCCGCTGCTCCTATACCGTGTGGGACCGGTGTAGGAGTGATCGGCGTTTGCGAAGGGCCGGAGAAACCTGGAGGAGGGCCTTGTCCAATCGGCCTGGTCGTCGTCCAAGCGTCATCGAACGTCGACTGCAAGTTTTTAGGAATCCCGTCCGCCATAGCTGAGCTTCAAACACAACTTTTTGAACCAAAAATTCCCACAGACTGCGCCAATAATGCAAGTGTAAGCGTCCTGGTCCGATTTGGAGCGGATCGATCTTTGTCCTCGTCGGTAGAACGCCGAAAACCTGCAAGTAACTCTCACACCGGGGGTTGTGTCCGGTGAAGAGCCTCCGATGCATAAGTCAGTATGTGTATGAGTATACTGAAGTGAAGAATGAATAGAATGTCTTAAGGGAGAAAGGCTCACCCCTTTTATATAGGGGTGAGATACTTGTTGGTGTTATATACTTAAGCTTTGCTTTAGTGGATATTTCACTTGTTATTC